ATTGTCTCTGTCTATGCAGTTTTTTCCATTTTTGTAAACACCTTAAAAGAAATATTTCACTTTAATATCTTAAATAATTTAAAATTAAACCAACTCTCATATCACTTACTTGCTATACCACTCAACAAAATATTTATTTTTAAGTTGCAGGTCAATTTCTTTAATTATTTGTTGTCTTTTTCTATTTACTCTTTTCCAATGTAAAAATGCGTTACTCATTAATTTAGTATTATAATCATCCTAGTAATAATAAATTTTTTAAATATTAAATTAAAAGAAGGTTTTCTTTAAAAAAAATATATATAAAATAATTGATGTTTGGGTAATTTACCTCAGCCATTTCATTTAATGATTCATAATGAATATATCTACTTCTCCATTTTTCAAAAACTCTTTGTACTAAAGTTTCTTCAGTACCTTCATCAATTATACTATATTTTTGTGATGTCGTTATTAATTTATCAAAATATCTATCGTATCAAATCCAAATAATAAAAAAAAAGATTGAGGGAGTCAAAGGTAATAATAATATTTTTTTTTCTTATTTTAAATATAAAGTATATATAAATAAAAGGATATCCTCCACATCATAAAATATTTATATAATAATTCTTCTTGATTAGCTCCAAGTAATAAATTATAAATAAATTTTAATCTCCATAATTTAAACTTTTCTTTTAAAATTTCTTTATTTTTGGTTTTTGTTTTAGATTTTAATAACCATCTTGTGAAAAATTCATTAAGTAAAATTTCACGGTATTGTTTATTATATCTTTTAGCTAATTCAAATTGATTATAAGTATTATGTATCCTAAATTCAAAAATTACAGTTAATTAAATTTAATAAAATTTATGCGAAATTTAAAATCAACTAACCGACTAAACCATATGGCAAAGTAACGTCTCAGCAGGTTTCTTTGTTTGATAACTATAGCTTGCTTTTCCATATAAGAAACTATATAGAAAATAATATTAAAATAATATTAACATAAAAATCAAATAATAAAGAAAAAAAAAATACCGTATTGTTTACGATGATTCCATTTAATCAAATATTTTTTCATAATAAATTCTTTACATTTCTCACTAAGAATTCGCTTTTTCAATAATTGTTTTTGATATCTCATTGTCCATTTATTAAAAGAATTTGTTAATAACTTTTTTTGATGAAAGTTTATAGCTAATTTCCATTGCCTTATTCCTTTTGCACGAAACGTTCGAATTTTTATTGTATACCTAGTCATAACATAAATTTTTTCATTAATAACGAATGATAAATTCAAACAGGAACTTATTCTTATTCAAATGTACCTTCTCCATTCTTTAAAATATATTTGTAGTTTCTCTTTTAATTCTTCCATTTCTTGAGGATCCTCATTTTCATTATCGTCAACACCTTCAAAACCATCCGGATTAGACTTAACATTATCAACATTTGTTATAGGAATCCATGTATTCTTTTTTAGTATCGAATCATCGTCCTACATTAATTTTAGATTCATTCAGAAATGTAATATAATTATTTTTATATTTAAGAAACGATTCGAAAATTGAGAAATGAAGTCTAAAAGTAAGATAAATACGCACGTATATGACATACCTTGAGCGTATATTCTTCAGATTTACCAATTTCTTCAATTTTGAAGATATCTCTCTTGATATGTGATTGTTTCTCATTATCATCATCATTAAAACCCTGAGAATCAAATTTAGTTGATGATTCAACACTCTAAATTGTCATTTTAAATTTAGCCTTTGCTGATAAATTTTTATTGTAGATCCGTACAAAAAATCAACATACCGTTTCATTGTTACCATCTTTATGTTCTAATACGAATGATAAATTATTTTCACTCGCTTTGATAAAATTATCGAAAGTAATATTTTCTACACTACTATGATCCAGTTGAGAAGAAGAAATGTTGCTTTCTGTACTATACTCTGATTCAGATAGTTCACTAGATTGACGTAGTAGCCAATTATATTGTTCAATATCTGTTTTTGATCCAATATCCTAGATATGAAAGGGATCAATTTAATCGATTTTATTAACCAAGAAATGACTTTAGAATTACAAACCCTGATAGCATTTTCAAATTTATCACTCCAATTGTTACCGGGCAATAATGGCAATTTTAACAAAAATTGATAATAAGTAGTATCGGTTTTGGGGTCAATTCTTCTTGTTGACAATACAACATCATGAGCACGAAATAAGGACATGAACGAAATTGGTGTAATTTCTATTGAGCTCTGTGAAGTATGTGAAGTATATGTAGCTAATGTTATTATATCCGAAAGAATTTCGAGGTCTATAAATGTTCGAATTAATAACAGGCAATATGAAGCTAATGCGCGAGAAAATAACTATTTCTTTTTTGAAATAATAAATACCTCGGGCTGTGTAAGTATCCCAGGTTGGTTTTCGAATTTCCGAATTCATTGAAGATAATTGACAAAAGACGCGACTAAAAAAAAAAAAAAAAAAAAAATCGAAAGACGCGCGCAAAATAGATATATAACAACAATTTATCGCACATATGTGATGCGAGGAAAATGAAAATAGCTGGCGGTGATTTCTTGGATGAAGTCATATTCATGCATAACGCTAGAGATGGCGTTATTAACCATCGTTAATATGGTTAATTTGAATTTACCAATCAAAACTAATTTATCGGATAATTAATTTCCCATCATTTCCAATTATCCAATCATTTTTTAGTATTCAAAAAAAATTTAAAATAAAAATCAAAATTCGGATCTTTGACAAGATTTCTCATTATTTTTTTAAAGCCATTTCTCGATATATATCAGTTCCCTTAAGCTTTGACCGACTGACCGTTTAATCCATTTCAAATATTTATACCATGTTCTGAGAATAGGTGAAAAGATGGGTATTCGTCGTCGAAGTGATTGCTAAAATTTAAGGTAAAAAAAAAATTCAAGGTTGTGGTTAAGAAGGAGGATAAAACTTTTTCGAATAAAGTATAATGATGAACAAGTTGTCGCCCCAGGCCGAGTTATTTTTCATGTGGATACGACAAAAGTGTATAGCCAAACAACACGCTTCTGATACTTTAACTAATTGATTTTGATTTGATTATGATTTATCAAAATATAAAAATTATTTTCATTTACTAATTTAACTTATTTACTACATATATTCAGATTCGATGACTTCTTAAAGGTTGTTCGGATAAAAGAAGGGATGCGATGTTCAATCACGGTTTAATTGTTAGGTGAAATATTTTTCAGATTTTAGTTGTATTTTTTAAAATTGATTCCGAACATTTGTATTTTTCTTTATCATTATATGGGAGGTTTATTATATCTAGTCTTAAAAGTCATTATCTCCCATATGTTAAATGCGAAATGATTATTCTTAAATATTTTATATGTACTATCAAATTCTGATCATTGATGAATAAATTTATATGATCGCAAATTCTAAAATATATATAAGAATGCATCAAACCATTTTTTGTTTACTGATTTAAATTCCTCATTTTTATTTCATTTTTTTTTTTACGGATTTAGGAATTATAAGTATTCTATAGTCAAGGTTAGCTGTTTATTTCTCTTGTATAATAACGATAATACCAAGCTGATATATTATGACCGCAATGATTATCATTTCTTTTTTTTTTTTAAATAAAAAAGATAATATCACTTTTAATAGTGAACTATAATATATAGATTGTGAGGTTGGCAATAATTTATTTTCGAATCGAAATTTATCTCGAACATTTTTTTTATAAAGGTTTTCAATCTGTTATTATTTTTATTCTTATTCTTAAAAATTGATACTAATTTTTAATTAAAATTTTTGTCTTTAAAAGCTTTATAAATTAAACGAAATTTAAACTTTTGGAAAATTATATAATGATTACTTAATAAATTGAAAATTTAGTCTCTGATTTTTTATAGCAGTAATTATAACGATAACCTTTTTATAATATTAATTATACTTATATAGTTCAAAATTATTTTGCAAATAATAAAGTCAAAATCACATTATTTATATTTTTATTTATATTTTTTTAATAAATTTATTTTTACTTTTTGATCCTTAAACTTTTATATATATATCCTTTATTAAAAATATTTAAATAAGAATATATTATTTTTTTATTTTAAAAAATAATTAATTATTTTTATTAATAAATTTATCTATAATATAATTTTTTTCAAATTTGTTATTAAATACATTAAGAATTTTTTTTTTTATAAAAATAATTAGTATTAATACCTATAAATGTGATTATCTTATATGATATTAATTATAAAGATATAAAATAAGAATTATAATATTTGTTTTATTAAGAATTTTGTATAAAGTTATATTTAATTAAAATTGATTTGTTAAAATTTTTGTATTTTGATATTATTTTTAATTAAAATCTGTTTTATTATAAATGTATATAATATCGATATATAATAAATTCAAATAATAATAAAATAAATATATAGAAATATATATGAGAGCTTGTTAATAAAAAGGAGAAAATCTGAAAATTTTCATTAATTCTAATTTTTAAGCTAATTTTTTAACACTTGACTGTGATCAATCAAGTGAATTAATAAAAAAAATTTTATTAAAATTTAGATTTCCCTCTTTTCTATTGATTAGATATATTGATTTAAAAACTTTTTATTAAATAAACTAATAATTGTAATAATTGCTATTTTAAAAACAATATTTAATATATATAGTAAGATAAAGTTCACATAAAAATATTTATTAATTTTAAGGTTTAATTTAATAATTTTCACATCTAATTAAATGTCCACCTTTTGTATCACGTTAAACACGTGAATTGCATTAAATTTTATATTTAGCATTGGATTTTATTATGCATTTAAACTATTAAATATACAATAATACATATATGGTTTCTAAAAAATTATCTAATTAAACTATAAAGAAATAAAAGAAATAAGAAAAAAAAAAAATACGAAAACGAGCAAAATATATAGATAGAGAAAATCTACACTTTTATTTATCTTTTCCAAATCCAGAAATTGCCTCCCCAATTATTTGCTCTTCCCCATCTACCGCAGATTCCAACAGGCAATAAAACACCATCATAAATCCAACTATGACGAGCAACATATGTTTTTATAAAATTCACTTTTCCTTTCTCGGTAATAACACCTTTTTTAATAATAAACTCACCAACTTGATCAGTTCCGCTACCAGAAAATTCTTTTACTACCTTATCAGTAACCAATGCGCTTGGATTAAAATAATAATAAGCACTTAAATTACATACTTTACCCGGTTCTGGTGGAGAAAACTTTAACGTAATATCCATTGCTGATTCTTGTGTTACCCCTTCCAAATATTGATAAGGTAATGGTTGGAAATCTGAATAATACCCAAACCATTTCCCGTCATATTCATCGTCGTTATATGGTTGAATAATTTCATCTCCAGGTTTTTGGTATAAATTGTTGAAAATTTTGGAATTTGGTACGATTGGAGGCGGCGGCGAGAAGTTATAAATAGATTCCGTTCGATTCGAATTGACGTATTTTATGCGAAAAAAGATGTGAATCGCTGATCCTGCTGATGCTGGAAGATATAAATGTTTTAGTCTGACATCATTATCCGTTGATTCTGGGAAAAATATATCGGGGATGATCATTGAAGCATGAATATTTGACCAAAATGTGTCCATTTTTTGTAAACCAATCGCAAGCTCTGGGTGCCAAGCCATTAAAATTGAAAGGACTTGTAAAGCAATAGATAAACAATCGATTTGAGTATTCGTTTTATCCAGTGCCTGAATTAGGCTCACCGTAAATTCTTTGACATTTGATGCTAATAATACTTCACTATTCATTCCATCATTCTCTTTGCAAATTTTCCAGATAGTATTTAAAATCTTTAATAATTCCGGGTTATTATTCTGTCGGGTAAAGCTCATTCGTATTCTTCGACTTTGAATATCAGATCCTTGATAACCCTCATCTTCATTTGTACCGTAATATAGTTCCACAATCTCATCATCAACATCTTGTGATGTATCATATTCATCATATTGTTGAATCATGTCGTCATCATCATCATCATGATTGTTTCCGGAATCATTCATGTTAGAATCCAATACGTCATCTAATATGTCATTGTTTCCATTACCGAAGGCGACATCTTCATTCTGTAGATTAACACTTTTTACCTCGTCTTCAACACCATCATTTTCATCATAAGCGGGTAAATCATTTTCTTGCTCGTTTAATACTACTACATTTGAAGCAATTTCTGTCTTATTATTATTAAAATCTTGCAAATTAGTCAATTTTTTATCTTCATCGTAATCCTGTAATTGAAATACTTCATTTTCATCGTAAGCAGGTAGGTCATCATTAATGGATTCTTTCAAGTCTTCATCATAATCAGGTAATTTAAAGGATTCTTCTTCGTGATCAGGTAATTTAAACTCCTCTTCATAATCCTGCAATTTGGGCGAAGGTTCTTCAATGTCGGGTAATTTAGGGCCCTCGTGATCCTGTAATTTAGACAAAGGTATTTCGTGATCAAGCAATTTAAGTTCCTCATCCTGAAAATTAGATGAAGGTTCTTCTTCTGGATCAGGCAAATTAGGCAAATTAGATGAAGGTTCTTCTTCTAGATCAGGAATATTAGATGAAGGTTGTTCTTCTAGATCATGTAAATTAGAAGAAGGGTCTTCTTCAAGATCAGGTAAATTAGATGAAAGTTCTTCAAAATCTGGTAATTTAAGCTCTTCCAGTTTAGAAGTCTCAACATCATAATCCTGTAATTGAGAAGACTCATCCTCATAATCCGGTAATTTAGATGATTCATAATAATCCTGTAAATAGGTTTCATCCAGATCATCCTTAATTTCCGAATTAAAAAGATCCTGATTTTGATCAAAAACATTATCTACCTCGTTAGTAGAATTATCAGTATCTTTAACTAATGTTTCAGAATGTCGTGCAATAGTCTTGCCATCTTTCGCATCATTGAAGATTTGATCCATTTCAATTATATTGGAAGCGAATATGGAATCCAACTCGGGATCATCAAAAGTAATTGGATCCTCGCCTACAAAATCAATGTCTTGAGAAATATCTTCCACTTTGATAGTGGAAATTGCATTGTCCTCCAGATCAATTTTAGCATCATTTTCCTTTGTAGCGTCTTTTTCAACGGCGTCCCCAGTGGTATCTTCCAGGTCAAATTCTTGAAAAAGAAAGTCATCATCATCTCCAAGGGTATGGTCAGAGCTATTTGGATATTTTTCTTCGGTTTGTTCTTCATGTTCCTGGTTGCCTACAAAATTAAAATCGATTAATGGAACATCAACATTATCATCAACTTGATCGGTTGATTTTAATGTTGAACTATCCTCGTCGTTAGTAAGAGTATCATCTTCGTCAGCATTATCTTCTAAAATACAATTAACATTACACTCCATAAGATCATCTATACTAGTAGTAGTAGTAGTATCGTCATCATTTTCAATATGATAATTAATGGAAACAAAAGGCGAAGGTAAAGTAGGTGTAATATAATTTTTCACTTTATTTAAGGCAATTTGACGTTCTTTATACAATTCTTTCCAAATATTTCCACCGGTTTGTGTTTGTACCGAACTAGAAGAGGAGGGTTGTACTTGAGAAGTTGTTTTACCTTCACCTTCACCTTTTGTATCACCAATAATATCAACTCCTTCAACACCTCCTTCTTCTAGGCGATTGTAATTTTCGATAATTCCAGCTCTAATTATAGCCTCAGAGTCAAAAATTTTTTCAAAAGCCATTTGCCATATGAACACATCATTCGCTATTTTATGGAATAAGCGACAAACTCGAGAAAGTATAGCAATTTGTTTATGTGGTGAACAAACGATTGTTGAGGTGGTCGTTGAATTAGGTTCATTTGCTGCTGAGGTGGCAAAGGTCGTTGTTCGATCAGTCAAAGTAAATGCAAAAATAGCAAAAATAGTTTCATTTGGAAGGCGTGAAAAAAAATTTGAAGTATCATATTCGTGACTAAACGAACTGGTAGAAGAAGGTGAACTTGGTGCTAAAACGTTAACAGTACTATCGTTATTTTCTTGAAACATATTGAACACAAATCTGCGAAAAAAAAAAAAAAAAAAAGAATAGAAAGAGAATATTTTTTTTTTTGCTACTAGGCTGGGAAAAAAAAATTTGATTCTAAAATGGGGTTTAACAATAACATCACCATTTCACGTGCGTGTTCCCAGCGCGTCTATAGCGTCAATCGGTTCCCGTATAATAATAATATATAGATGAAATCAAATAAAATTTTCTCGTTTTTCAATCTTTTTATGATGTATAATAAATTTAGATTAATATCTAATATTTTTATTCCAAGAATTAATCAAATCAAAGGTATTGGATCGGTATTATTATTATTATTATTTATTTTATTTTATATAATACTTTATTCAAACACTAATAAAATTGTTACAAAGTACATAACAGAATACTTCCTTCTTTAATATTTCAAAGAAGTTTTAATAATTCAAATGTTAATAACTTGGAACACTTTGATACAAGTTCATTTGTAGAAAGGTTAGAGAAAGAAGGGTTTACAAGACAACAAAGTGAAGCTATAATGAAATCATTATCTGAGGTGATGAATGAGAGGTATTTGCAGAGATTTTCCTTCTTCGTCGTCATTGCTTTTTTTGTTAAATTCATTTACATACCCTTGAAATGATAGTATGCAGAATCTGACGAGTAATATGGTGACATTAACAGATCAAGAGAAGGTAAATCTTTCACGGTTCACTTTATTTTTATTAAATTAACGTTCCCTTATTCTCTCAATTAAAGATCGTATACACGACCAAAGTGGACATATCCAAGTTAAAATCAGAAATTCAAATGGTAGAAAAAAGTGATTTCAATGTGTTAAAAGCGGAAAACGAAAGGTTATCATCAGAGATCGAAAAATTAAAACTAAAATTAAATGAAGAAGTTAAAAAGACTCAAGGAGGAGTCCGTTTGGATTTAAATTTGGAAAGGGGTCGGATTAAAGATGAATCAAGGGTATTAGAGGCAAGTTTAAAAGAAACTCACACCAAGATTGAAAGTGAAATAGCTGGATTAAGAACAAATATGGAAACCGTTAAATTCCAAATATTACAATATATGATTGGTACTTTAACTGGTGCCGGCGCTTTGATCTTGGGTAAGTAACCGTTTCTTTATATCATTTTGACTTTTTTTTTTCAAATCGATTTATTAAAATATATATATATAATATTTTTTTTTTAAAAAAAAAAAAAAATTCAATAGCGTACATGCGGATGTTTCGATAGATTAACATTATTAAAGTAAAATTTTAGGATATACACAATTTATTAATAGTACCTTATTAAGTTGTCTAAAATTACAAACATATATAGATATGTAATATATATATATATATATAATCTAATAATAATAATAATAATAATAATTAAGAACAGAAACCACAGAAAACAAAGAAAGGAGAATAATTAAATAAATGAGTTTCGGTATAACGATCGTTAGGATTATCTTTTTGTGTTTTGGATAATTTTTTAGCAGAATTTTTTGCGATTAAACCAGTAATTAAGATAAAGGTTTCAAACGAAGTCAATAATTCCTCTTCCTTGCCTTTACTACTATATGAATCAGCGTCTAAGATTTTACTGGATATGTTAATATAAAGAGAGTTCGTCTCGTTTTCAAATTCAGCTATTCTTGCGCCTATCCCGCTCAATCCTTCGACACAATATAATTCACTTTGTTTATCACCATTATTATCAGGTATTAAAGAACCATTAGAGAAGGCATTATTATTTTTCTTTAGATGGAAAGAATTTCTAAAAGAAGCTCTCTTTTGTTGTCTATTAACCGTATCATCGGTATTATTATTAATCTTCCAAAGAAATATTCTACCATTCCAAGATATGACATAACCACCCAATAACTTTTCATATTTAATTAAGGTATATGGAGTCATTAAATTTGAAATTTCCCAGGTAGAATTAGGTTTAATCAACTTATTTATTCCATCCACGCCACCGTTGTTTAATCCATTTATCGTCGTTGACGAAGACGTGCTATTAAACGTACAAGTGCTTCCAATGCTACTCGTAGAATCAACCGAAGTGGTGGATAAATTGCTAAATCTATGCTTGTTCATATTTAAATCTTCTCCTAAAAATTGATGTTTGGTTTTGGTTGGATTATTGGCAAGAGGGGTAATTGCGGTGGTGTTGTCTTTACTACTGGTGGTGGTAACTTCGTTCAGTCTTGGGAATGCGTTCCAATATAACTGATTTTGGTCATTACAACTTTGTATGCAAACATTTGGATTAGAATAAGTTGGAGCTTTTATTTGGTATTTTGGAATGAAATCCGTTCCGTTACTTAATTTTGTTGTATTATATATTGTTATCATACCATTTTCTTTTATATATGTGTATTGTGCTAGTGAGTTGTGGCGAGTGGAAGCGTACGTCTTGCTCTTTTGCATTTTTGGTACCTTTGAAAGGGATGTAGTTGAAATGGTGGGGTTGGTATTGCTGGGTACCACTGTGTTATTAATTCCGCGCGACGACATTTTTGTGTGAGGGTTGTTTTTAATATTATTGTTTTGTTTTTTTTTTTTTTTTTTTTTTTTTTTGAAAGAAAAAAAAAAGGAAGGAAATTGTTGTTGTTATGTTATTGTTTGTGTGAACAAGAACCAAAAGAAATTTTCCCTACTATTTATATTTCATGATAAATATATGTGGTGTGGTGTGATCGTTATTGGATCTACCTGACAATGAAAGCAATATTTTTATTTCTACTGTGCTACTTTAATTCTTTTAGACCATTAATTATTGGCGAAACATATTTGTTAAACCTTAAAAAAAATTACTTTCACCTTTCTTGGTGACACTTAATTAATGACTATATTTATATGTAAAAAAATATCCTTCTAAATTACATCAAATGTACGTATATGTATAATATTTGTCATAATCTAAACCACAAGACGAAATACACCAAAACCAACAAAGTTATTACCATAAACAAGACAAATAATACGAAGAAGAATATGGGAAATTCATTTTATGGTGGTTTAATTAAAGTTGAAACTTCCGGTGGGGTTCACAATTAAACGATTAATATATAATATCACAGTTATTAATTTAAAATATTGGGTAGCTTTTTTTGGCGTAAAAAAAAATTGCTAAAGGAATAAAACAAGTTTTATGCACGGCATGCAGGGTTCGGATACGTCATTGGATGAGATCGAATGATTTTCATTAGATTGCAAAACCCCCCTCCATTTTTACTAAAGAAATTCGATTGTTTTATTTATAGAAATAGTTCGAAGGGAAGCGATAATTTTGGTAATTGATTTTCTCAAAAACATGATTGTTGAGTAAAAATTACAGAACTTTGAAAAAAAAGTATTTTTTTTTTCTATGCGTTTGAAAAAATTCCACTTTGATAATCGTAACTTTTTTAGTTAATAATAATTATCCTTGTGGGTGTAATGCTATTCTCCAGAATATAATCAGCATTTACAAAATCATTACTTTCTATTCTATATGCGGCAGATTGCTCATCTTTAGCAATTCCACTTTTTATGTGTCTTTTAATCACTCTCATTTTTGCAATTTCACGATCTATTTGTAAAAACCAAAGTTCGTCCATTTGTAAAGCAATCGAATTCCAAATACGTGGTTCTCTCAAGTGAAGGTAGAGTCCTTCAAATATCACTAATTGATGACTATGAAATAAAATTTAATTATGATGAGTACAAGGTAAAAGTGTAAACCATATGTTGCAAAAGATGAGAAACCTTGGAAGAATCTTGATGTCATCTTCGACAGGGTCACCAACAGCATGGTCAAATGATGGTGCATTGATGATTATCTGATTTATTATTGGATTTCGAAGGCTTACAACAAGTTGAAGAAGACCTAATTTTTTTTTTTTAAAGTAATAAATCTCAAGAATATTCCCGCTTAATAAAATATCAGTTACTCTACCTTCAGCATCAAATGTCCAATGCGCTCCACGACGAGCATAAGCTTCCTCGACATTCTTTATAACAAAGAATTATATTTTAAATTTCGTAATTGAACCGTAGTCATAGGATTCAAATTCATACCGGAAATGTGTCCAAGATTTTTTTGGGGTAATGATATCCATCCATTGATATATTGATGGCTACTTGTTTTTCAATTAACTTGTTTACATCTTCTGCGAGATTATTTGCAAAGGTAGTTTTACCTGATCCTGGAATGCCTGCTATCGCAAGAAGATATCGTTTTTCTGGAGAAAGACTAAATATTTAAAATTTTTTATTTTTATTTTTATTTTTATCACCATGAGCTTATTAAACTAAAACTTAAAAGTATATTTAAATAAAGAACTCTTTTACGGACTTTGAAATTTTTTCTGTAAGGTATTTGACAAGGTCATAAGTACTATTATTCATTTTTCATTTTTTTTTTAAAAAAAAAAAAAAAAAAAAAAAAAATGATCGAGAATGCGAGAATTTTAAGAAGCTGCGTATTTATCTTTTTGTTTTTTAAAATGCAATTTTTTCATTGGGTGATAAAATCAAATCGCGATTTAATATTTATTTGGTTAAAGATCAATGGCAATACTTTTTTCCATTTAATTTAATCATTAGAAACAATGATTGGATACATTCCCGAGATTTCATGCAACGTGACCTTTTTCCCTTGTTTCTTGTTTCAAAACAATATGATTTTTTAATTATTTTATTCTTTTATCTGTAAGGTTTTGCCTTGTTCAAAAGCTCACGGATCATCAACTGTAATATTTAGTCCATTTTATCACATATTATTGGTATCCCTATCTATTTAGATGCCGTTGTTCATCGATTTTAAAGTTCTTTGGTGACAAGCCGATTTGATAAAGTCTGGTACAGCTTTCGAATCATATTCGTCATAAATTCTGTTCTTCTGTCCTTTAATACCTTTCACATATGCTTGATTTGTAATCGACAAATGCAATTTAATTGAGATTGTCAACGGGTAATTCCAAGATTGAACACAATATCGATATTGGTTTATTCAGCAATCTTTTTGTTAAAATA